GGAAACACCATCTAAAAAAGAAGAAAGAAAAGCTGGACGAAGAGTCTCGTAAAGAGACAAGCGCCCAAAACAAACTCCAAAAGATCACTCACTCACTCATAAACGAACTGCATATTTTATTTTCAGCATTGCTAACAAAATAGCACTCGCTCTTACCTCTACTCCTCCCTCTAGAAGCAAGAGAAAAGTTTAACAAACCGTGTGCACAGTGAACCTACATTTACGCCCCGAAGCAAAACAAGGGGCTATCATAGCATATGCTCAATGGAATAGGGAAAGTGGACAAAACATGATCAAGATGAGGGCCATTGACCGGAAGTGTTGCAATACATTTTGAAAGTGGCATAAAGTGAAAACTTTCAAGGATGACCAACCAGAAATAACCCGATGAAGGTGTAAAATATGCAATATTTAAAATAAATGTTTTATATATCTGTTTTAGTGACTTGTTACAAAAAAATAATTTCTGTATCTGTCTGCATTTAAAATTCTCGCCAAACTGTGCCGCCAACAGGAGTCTGAAGCACATTGGCTAAAGCCTTTCCATCATGGCTCGTCTGCTTATTTACGCCCTTCGTTAACTATCGACATCTACCGTGCGTTTGTAAACTGCGCGAAGTGAAATTGGCAACACTATAGGACAAATATTGCCCTTGTGACTCAGAGGTGAAGTCGCTTGCCTTTCACGACTGACGTTCAGGGTGCGATTCCCGTAGAATCCCCCGTAGAACCTCACGTGAAATTTGTTACGACAAAACGAGGTTGCATGCTTCACAGGGGCCCCTGTGAAGTGTCCTAAACCCTACCCCAATTCTTATTCCTGCCCAATTCTGGCCGCTGAGTAGTGACTCAGGGGCACGTACGCAAAGATGCTACATGGCGGTCCTCTCGACAATTGACTGCGACGAGACGTATAAGTTGAAATACTCGTATTAATGAAGAATTACTCCGAAAGCGCTCAAAGCCCCGCGAGGCGCGTGTCAGTTAAAGACGCAACAAATAAAAAAAAAATACACGTGCAACTTGGGTTGATTGTGTTACACAAAATGCATTCGATCTGTGGTGTTGCCTATTCTATTTTAATACAGTTAACGGACGAACATTTTCGGACACTTCATCCGTGGTTTCGTAATCTTCACAATTCGGAAGCTACATGACAAAAAAAGGTATTTTTTTTAAAGCATGAAGAAAAGAAAATGAAATTAATTTTCTCAGATCTTTTGTGACGATGTATTTTGCGGTTGCAGAGGGACCAATATCAGTCTTTTGCGGCCACCAACAGTCACTTGGGAAATCTTCCCAATAAGGACCCCCTAGGGTACCCAGAACATCACGCCATTAAAGTCCTTAGGCACTTTTCGGATCTGTGCGTTTGTAATAACTGTGACCGACGTACTCCGTGGGTCTATCTCGGAGCTTGTATCATTAGTGTGGATGTCATCATCATTCACGCTCACAGATCACTCAGTCAGTTACCGGTCAGAGGGTAAGATTAGGGAGTATGTAAGTGGTATAAGAGGTACTGAGACTTATCACAAGACAAAAACGCGTGTGAGGGTAGTTTAGTATCGAGTTCCAACCCACTAGTCTTAGTGACTGCAGCTGTTTGGGTCTGCCAATTCCACTAATTCATTTCATATGAAAGTAACTGAAGAAATTTGGCATTTTTTAAATATTATTTTAGGTCGCTTTTTAACTTCTAGGTCATGTAGTGACCACTGTAACTTGAGAGGGAACACATAAGGACAACACAAACACACAAACATCTATGCTCGAGGCGAGGTTCGAATCTGTGTTCCTTCGAACCAAAGCAGCTACTGCTCTTCAACCTTAGCTGCCTCGCCTATCCGGCAAATTCGGCTTTGATCGGACATCTTTTATCACAATCATCTATTAGCTTCCGTAAATGGTTTTGCCTGAGATTTCCATAGAGTGAAGAAACAACCCTTAAAACACCTTCAACGTTTTGTATAGCGCACTGTCAAATAAAGTATGATTATATGAAGAATGATATCGTGATTTTCAACAAATAGGAAATGGCCCTGGGCAGTCCACTATTTTTTTTGAACCTGGGTAAACATTTTGAATAACGTGAAACAACAACAATTTCATTCTCGGCCGTTCAAATGTATTTTTATACAAAATTTGGAAGCAATCACTCCAATGCACAGCACTGCCATCACCTCTGGAGGGAATCAAAAATTCTTGTGGTAATACACACATACTACATACATTAGCTTTTATATAATATCGTCGTTGGTGATAGACATTTGTGAAAAATCTGCTATGTGAAAAAAAAATACAGGAGGAAGAAGAAACAGGTTTTGATGTTAATAATGTACATTTGGCTAAGTTTAGGCATTCGACACTTTCTATGTTATAGCATTTAATATTTATATATTGTAATATTTTTCTGAAAAAGCCTTACGAAAAGATATGTGACTCTTACAACATCCGAGATATTCTATAATCAATAGATCGTAAAGTTCACATAAAATTGATTGATAGTGATACTGGGCGCGTCAGCTACTATTATCATTAGTCCCGTAAGCGTAGTGCATGTTCTTCCTCGAGGGGGGGGGTTTCTTCCCCGCTTATTTTTTTAGTAATGTTTCGTGTGTAAGTTTCTGTGTCGTCTGTATAATATATTATAGTATATATATTCAATATATATTATAATATTGTATTGTAGTGATTATACTTAAAGGCTGATATACTTATGACACAATGTGAACATCCATCTTAACAGACATTTCTAATTTTTCTTTATGCTAATGCATTCGGTAGGACGCATTTCAAAAACATACGTAAATTTCAGGTAAAGTCAGTAACTTCAAAAATTCCTGTAATTGTTTGTAGTTGTGAACTTTCGAAAAGTACTTACTCAACCAAGAATGTTTCGAGTTTAAATACTTCTCTCTTATTAATCTTTCATAATACTATGTATCTTCTAAAAACGCGTCTCACTGCACTTACTTTTCATCTGCTTTGCGCAAATTATGCAAATACGATTAGTAATGCCTTGTTATTGGCGGGATTAGTGTAAGAGACTGCGATGAATTTGTGTAATAGTACTTCATGAAATAAACTATTATTACATTTCTACTATAAATACAATAAGTTGGACGTGTATGCCTCAACAGCTGATCTGACGCAAGAACGACCACGTGTCTGCCGCCCGAGGAAGTGACAACATTGCTTTCCCCCACTCTCATATGCCAAGTCGACTGAAGTATTATTCGCAGTATAACTAACAAGCTAGTCACAAAATTCCTGCCACCGCCGCGACTCGAACCTAGAACCTCCTGGTCAGAGGGACTGCAGTGACATCAGTTGATGCCCTGACCCATATCTTCCGATTCACATAGAGAATTTTTAATTTTGTTAAGATCACAATTTATAGTTTTGTTTTAAAATTTTCCTATCAAATTAAAGAACAAGCAAATTCTTAATCATTGGTACCAAAATGTAAAAATCGCCAATTCCGTCTCAAAGATTGTCCATCATCAACGACGATTATGTAGATGGTCTGAAAAGCCAAAATTGTCAGAAGGACAGCCCCTGCCCCTTCCTGGGTGACTCTGCGGTGAATGCAGTATATTCTTGCAAGCAGAAATTGCATGTACACTTGTAAAGTTTGTACAAATAGAACAGCATAAATTTGTGATCATCAAAGGTTTAGTTAACTTCTTTATGGCGTTTTATTCAGTATAAATATATTGTGACATTTAATTATAACCATATAATTGAACATTATTGTCAACAAAGGAGATGAGTTATTGGATGACTATAATACATATTTTCTATACTAATAAATATGATAAGAATAAAATTCGGTATGCATTAATTTTAGTGAAATTTAAAGCATTTAACAAAAATGTAATAGACTTAATTACTATTACAAGAGTTTAATTAATAGCGATAATGTTCTGATTTATACGGTCCTTCAATAGGAAGTGCTAAATATTTCGCTTGTTCTGGCGTTAACTTCCCCAATTTGGAACCCATGTGACACAAGTGAAAGGTAGCAACCTCTTCATCTAACTTTTTCGTCAAAACATTAACACCCACTTCGTACTTATTTCGGCTTGTCCAAAGTTCTATATGAGCTAATACTTGAAGGCTGTGTAAGTAACTCATCACGAAGGCAGGGTAACTCATTGCCCAAGTCACGTTAGCAATTCGGCCTTCAGCGAGAAGCAGGATATGTCGCCCATTCGACAACTTGAACTTCTCAACACGAGGGTTTACTCGCACGGTTTCCACGGCGTTTCTCTTCAACCATTCAACATCTACTTCACGATCTAATAATCCCATGTTCAACACGATGGCATCATTGCGCATATGCAAGAAGTGCTCTCCTCGAATGACATCCGGACATCCGGTTGCTGTAACAAAAATATTTCCTATTTTCGAGGCTTCCTCCATCGTGGTTACTTGGTAGCCTTCCATAGACGCTTGCAGTGCATTAATGGGATCTATTTCCGTTATGATTATTCGAACTCCGAATGAACGTAGTATTTTTGCACAGCCTTTACCTATGTTACCATAACCCGCTAGGACGCATACTTTCCCAGCCAACATAATAACAGCGGCTGCACATTTAATACCCTGATATAATATTTCTGAGACTCCATAAAAGAGACAAAACTTTGAGTTTAATACTGAATCAGCCAAGTTAATTGCTGGAATTTTCAATTTATGTTCGTTCAACAACTTGTGTAAACTGTGTACACCTACACTAGTTCCCTCAGTCACTCCCACGAGGCTACATAAATATTGGGGATACTTCGTATGAACCAAGTTGGTTAAATCACCGCCGTTATCCAAAATTAAATTTAAAGGTTTATCATTAGGGAACGTAAGTGTTTGTTCAATACACCATACGTACTCTTCGTCGGACTCTCCTTTCCAAGCAAACACAGCAACACCACGTTTTGCCATTGCAGCTGCAGCATGGTCCTGAGTACTGAATGGACTACTGCTGGCCCATTGCACAGAAGCTCCTAGATCTAAGAGTGTCTCTATCAGCACTGCTGTCTGCACAGTCACCTGGAAGCACACGGCAATACGCGCATTCTTCAAAGGCTGTTGGGGTCTATACTTTTCGCGAATATACGTTAAACCTGGCATGTCGTTCTCGGCCAAAGTTATCTCTTTTCGACCCCATTCTGCCAGGTTAATATCAGCTACTTTATGTGGTAGGTTGTCGGCCATTGCTCTCGACCTGTCCTCGATATTCACATCTCTTCTGAACCGAGTTACATACTCGGGTATTACAAAAAGGGTTACAAATCGGGTTTTGCAATAGAGTATATTTCTGAAGTTCAGAATAACACGTGATTATAATTGATGCATAACGTAAGCAATACCAGTATTCTTGTATTTAAAGAAGACATCAATAATACAGAAATGATTGAAGGAGGCTCTGATTCCCTGGGATTGTTACATTCACGTCTTGGGAGAAATGTTTTTCTTGATTTGAACCTGTTTTTGTCGTGATCGTCGCAACCACCAAAGTTAAATACATAAAATGTGTAAATTAGTTTGCACCCTGAACTGTTGGTAAATGTCCAATCTTTTAACTGCGTTTCACCCAGCCCATGCAAAGCAGATGCTAATGGGATGGTTTACGCAATTAACATTCTTATATCCACTAAAATATATATTTACAGGTGTTACTAATTTTTAATTTGGGGCTTATTATTTTTTGTTAATTTAAGAGGAAGTCTTGGTGTACTCGAAGTGCATGAGCTAAAATTGATTTTAAGGATAGAATTACAATTGAAGTCATATTTTACTTGTCAGAGCTACAAAATTATATTCATGTGTTTCCCTCACTGTCTCTATATGAAGACATATGTCTTAAAGTCTTTTTCTTGCAGAATCCAATACGTGGTAACTGAAATAGATCCGTAAGTGTAGTCCATGTTTCACAATATGGCGGTGATCGTTATGTGATGAATGGCGTTTGGCGCCCAATTACCTGTCAGCTATGAAGTTTTCCGCAACAACTTATCTCTTACCAGCGAGGCACCGTTCCAGCGGGGACAAGCTTAAGCTCGCGACTATTCTCCCAACGTCTGTGGTAGTGTAGTGCATGTAAGTGTGAGAGAAAGTCAGGGGTAAGGATAAAAAAAGGAAGAGGAAGGAAAGATCGCGCGCGGTCCGTGGCTCTTTTGTTGGGGTACTACTCCAGCAGTTGCCTGGTATTGATCGGAGAAACCACGTAAAACTACCGATCAGAAGACACAGATCACTATCCAGGCGATACAATTGTACTCCAGACAGCGGCTAGCTATCTAGGCAGTGTCGAAAGTCCTGCCACTGCCGGAATTCGAACTCTAGAACCTCCTTGTCAGAGACACTGCAGTGACATACACTTAGGAAAGAGATACTGCTCTGAGCCGCCTAAGCCAGTTTCAGTGTCAGTTCGTGGTACAATTTCTAGGTGATGGAATTATGATCCTTACAAAAGACGTACCGAAAAACAGAGAAATTCGTAGCCTACTTGCAGGGGTCACATTCGGACTTATGTCCTGGGCGCGAAACTTGGTGTCAAGGGGTACTGAGTTTCAAAATCCCTTAATATCTCCTTTCATTTTTTGTCTGTATTACTTTTCTCTGTCTGTATACAAAAAAGAATGACATCGCCATCCTTTTAAGAACGTTGTGTTGGCAGCCCTGTCCTCCAAATCCTATTCCCCTTAATGGATCAACGAGACGGAGTTATTGTAATCGGTAAGATTTGAGAGAAACTAAAGGCTGACGTGATCGCTGGATGGTCCATTTCTGAGAAATTCGCTGCTATCACTCCCTCCTTCTCAGTGCGCCCAACGTACTCAAGCGTGATTGCCGCAGTAGAATTGGTGGAATGTTGGACAGACTGAGAGTCCGAGCATTACACCAGATACATTGCAATATCCAACTGGATTTTGGTTGTATTATTTTGTATATTTCCCTAGCTGTGATAGGTAGCAGTGGAAGCGTCCAGAAGGCAGGGTGGGGGTCTGCCACGGAGCTGGAGACAGAGGAGGGGATGAGGACGGGGAAAGAGGCGAGGGTGGAGGCGTGGGCGGTGAAAAGGGCGGAGGCGGGAGCGCTGACGGCAACGGCTGGGACGACCGAGAGAGAGAGAGAAACTGTGTGAGACAGCGAGAGAGGGAGAGAGAGAGAGCGAGAGCGAGAGAGGGAGAGAGGGAGAGGGTGGGAGGGGAAGGGGTTGGGGTGGAGTAAATTTCATTTGCCGTACGTCGCGCGACAGGCCCTGGCGCGCTGCCTCGTAGCTGCAGCGTCGGGTTAACTATTCCCGACGGCAGATTGAAATCGATGTGGCTCGAAAATTCTCTCCGAACTCTGCTTTAACACTTTCACCGCGGTGTTTTAAATCCCAAGGCATGATCGCATTTAATGTGACAGTCCAGCAGTTGATATTACTATCAGACATGTATAAGATTTAATTTGCCTGATGAATAGCGTGTACAAAATATATAACACTAAAATTATAGAAGATAATTTATGGGCCCATGAGAAAATCACTAAGCAATTCATTACAATGATATCTTATGTTTTTATTTTTTGCTTACGGTACATCCTTTACATTCTTTACAGATGTTGAAACTTTGAGTGTAATATATAATAGTAATGCAACACAGTATGGAATGATCACCGTTCTACTGGTCATTTATTGTTTAGTCGTCGTTTTTGTATTCAATAATTTTTCATCAATATGCAGGTATAAATTGTAAAGTGGGTGATATAAAAAGTAATATCAATTATTTTAAGGAGGTTTGAATTAGCTTTTCGACAAATATGATGGATTGCACAAATGTTCATTTCCTGTTTTTTGTGAATACGATCTAAGCGTTGATAGTCGAAACGATCTCTAAGGGTTCAGAATGGTTACCCTAATGATGTCATGAAATAATAATTCAATTCCTCTGTAGTCTACTCCACCGTTGCAAGATGATTGCCTCATCAGCCTTTGGGATAGTGCTGCCAACTATGAGACAAGAACGCAACCGCTTATTTCAGTATCTACTTCATTCTCATAGGGACACGAAATCAGCTTCCGGGATCGAGGATCTCTCGAATGCCGGTGACTTCGGTGCTGGCGAATGATTTCACCCCAGACCGAATGACCAGACAGATGCAAAATTACTTGTTTCTGAATTCACAGCTTTTGGTTACACTGTAATCACACAGATACAAATCAAAGCATAACTACATTTTCCTTATCAATACAAAACTTCTTATAGTTTACGTACAGTTCAATTAACACGTATTGCAAGTTATGTTTGATGTGTTCAAAATATTGACTGTCCGAGCATTAAAATGTAAATAATAATAATAATTAGTATTTATAATAATATACCGCCATTGGTACATAAATAACAATTCGTTACCCGAAAAGATTCAACTGTATGTACTTAGTGACTCAGAACTCATATCTTAAACTTCTAGGACAGGTAGGGGGAGGAAAATGACTACTTTTTGTCAATGAACAATGGGGTAGGAAAGCTCTTATGACTAAATCACAAAATAGCAATTTTGAATATCGCAAGGGTATGGTAGGTCCTCATGTTCTCGTGTCTCCACATCCTTGCTAGACAATTCATCTTGCACAGGAGTTCGCTAAGTACACGTTCTGCTACAGCAAAGATATGTCTTCTACCTGACAAACACCTGCGCATGAACATAATGATCATTTTCGATTTTCCTAAGCTTCCTAGAAGTTTCTAACATTTATTCTGAGACGCCTGAGTTAACTTTTTCTAGCAGAAGTGGTATAAGGAGTTCATGCCCTTCTAGGTCACTAGGTCTAAAGGAAAAATGTCTAATAAAAATGTGGTCTACAACTATATTAAGTCTAATGATTAAACGTCCACAGCTAAAATGTCTACCAACAAAATTGTCTGCAAACTACAAAGCCAATCATCTAAATGTCTACTAGCTAAAAATCTAACAGAAATGTCTCATACGTATTCTGTTAAAATATTCTGACAATATGGGGCAAGTTGAAATAATGACAACGCGATATGAAGACTGTAGACATCGAAATGAAATACTCGTGTTCTTGAAAGGATTAAGTTATCGTCTGAAATTGCAAGCAAATGAAGTAGAACAATATGATGAATGATTTTAATGAAGACTGTTCTATTCATGTACTGCATATATTTTATAAATATATTTTCCGAACCTGCATTTATAATTACACTTACTAACAAGTCTAACAAACTTTAATACGTAGATCCTTTTTAAATGTAGACACATTTGCAATATTCATTTTTGCATGTAGACACCTTTTCCTGTACACATTTAGGCAATGAACATTTCTGTTTGTAGGCATACTGGCATTAAACATGTTTTCATGTAGACTATCGCAATGTGTAAACATTTATAATGTAGGCCGTGTAGAGTAGGCCAAGTACCGTTAGACCTCAAATATTAGACCTTATTTCTGTAGACCGACTGACCGGAAACCATTCATGCACATTGGCAATTTGTGATCATATTCGATGTCCCTACACACCCTAGAATTGCGTAACATTAATTCTCAGTCGCTGTGTATTTTTCAAGCGGGTGGGGCTCATGGCCCTCCTCTTGAAGCCGCTACTGCATCAGTTCGCCCTTCCTAGGCGCGCGTGCGCCCCTGTAATTGCTCCTAGCCCCGAGCCGAGGGCGCCGCGCCGAGCCACCGCTTTCAGCCGCCTGGAATAATGCGTGGCTCCAATTAATCTCGGGCCGTGCGTCTGCATGCGTGTTTTGGGAATTTGACAGCGAGTGATTGGATTTTAGAGACGACTCTGGACGAGGGCGCGTGGGCGGGGACAGCACGCATCTTCAGTTACCGCGCAGTTGAATACATTGTTGGATAATGTTGCGTGTCAGCGGATGTAATCATTGGTACCGTGTACTGAAATTAATAATAATAATAATAATAATAATAATAATAATAATAATAATAATAATTTTAATAATAATAATAATAATAATTAAATAATAAAATTAATAAAGAATAAAACTATAATGATATAATCAATTAATGAATTATGCCGATCCGGTGGCCCGAGAATCGCGTAGCCCCAGTAGATGGCCGCAGATGCCGTAGCGAACTCGGAGCGATAAGATCGGGGTTCGAGCCCGTCTGGCATGGTTGTTTTGTGTGTCGTCCTTTCACCTCCACATATCGAGTCGATCATTATCGTGTCAACCCA